GGGCGGCAGACACAGGCTCTGAGGGGCACCCCTGTTGGAGCCTGTGGCTTTACGTGGCTGGATGCTCTGCTGTCTGTCTGGGTCACACCTGGGGGCCTCGCCCGGGATGGGGTCTGCCAGGTCGTGCGACGGGTGCATCCCTGCTTTGCTGGGTGACTGTGATCTTTAGGGATGGGCGAGGGGGCAGGTCGCCAGGACCGAGCCCCGCGTGTGTCCTGGCCGCTCTGGAGACGCACACGCCGCTCACACACACAGTGTGGCACAGAACGAGGGGCCGGAGCCCGGCGGGTCCCCCCTGCCCGTGACCGTAGGACAGCGAGTGACCCTGGCCTGAGTCCTCTCGCTCTGGGCGCCACGTCCCTCTCCTGGAGAGTGGGGCCGCTCCCACGTGCCCCGCGGGCCCCTGCGCGGTTGGGGGGAAGTTCCGGGTGGAGATTCTCAGCGGGGGCTGGGCCCCCGGAGCGGGCACCGTGGGTGGGAAAGGGCCTCGCCGGGATCCGGCGGCTTCGGGAGGGCGGCCTCAGTCCCTGTGGCCTTCGGTGTTGGAGGCTTGTTTTGGATCATTGCTCTTCTGCCGTCGGCCCGGACGGAACCAGTTTGGGCAGTTCCAGAGCGTGTCCTTGGCTGTGGGAGGGTGAGGGCCCCTCCAGACAGAGGCCGCCCGGAAGCCGATGGAGAGAGCCCGCGGGCAGGATGCAGCTGGCGGGCGGGGGCGATCGCAGGGCCTTTTATGACGCGCCAAACGTGGCCTGACAGCTTCTAGGACTGTCCAAAGCAGGGCTGTTTGCTTTTCCACCTTATCTTTGCCTTTTCCCTGCTGCCCGAGGGCGTAGACTCAGTGCACCAACGGAAACTCTGCTGGGGGGCAGGTGTCGCTGTCACTGGGACCCTGGGTCCACGTGTCTGAACCAGCCGCCCAGCCACACCCACGGGCCACCCCCGGGGCCGCCGTCCCCGCAGGAGAGGCCCCCAGTAGCCGCCCCGCGCGAGTCTGAGAGGTGCACGCTCTTCAGAGCAGCCTCCGTCCTTGAAAGAGGCCGCGGGCTGCGTGCAGGAGGCGGTCGGGGCGGCCCGGGGGCAGTGCGGGCACGGCTCGGACGCAGGTGCGGGCCCTCACCTGGCGCTGGCACTGGCTCCCCCATTGTCTTTGCTTGGCCCTGGCGGTTTCTCGCACTGGAGGAGAGGCTGTGCGAGAACAGCTTCTGAAATCTGAGTCCTCCGTTTACCGAACGCAGATGGCTGTTTGTCTCTGTTTAATTAAAGTGAGGACAATGGGTAGTTTCTGCCAAAGGTGACACCTGGAGTCAGGTTACCGTCTGAGGCTGGCGTGTGCAGGCTGGGTGCTGGCAGCTGCGCGCGTGTGTGTGTGTGTGTGTGTGTGGACTTTGTCCAGCCTGCTTTGCTTAAACTCACAAAGGCAGAGGACGTGACCGTGAGCGGCGACGTTGACCCAAGGGCAGCGTGACTTCAGGACACGTGCCCGTGAGCACGGGCTGTCAGGGTCACCTTTCCCTCCGGTGGCCCATGACCCATTCTCTCCGAAGCACTGAGCTGTTGCAGCAGGAACGCCCACCCGACTGCGTGACTGGAATCGCGGGACGGAGGAGAAGGGATCTCCTCAGAGCACATTCCCTTTATTTCACTGCAGAATTAGGTAGAAACAGCACCGTTCCCACGGTCCGCCTGTCCCACGCTGATATGTAAGGAAGTGTCCCTGGGGCTCAGGGAACCCCGGTCTCCCCTGCCGGCTGCAGCCACGCAGACTGTGCGTGAACTTCTTGTGCCCGTGGCCACTCAGTGCTGGTGTTCCTGGGGTGCTGGTTCTCCTGCGGCCCCTGCAGTGAACTTCAGAAGTCTGGAGGCGGGGTGCCTAGACGGCAGGGTCTCAGCTGAGTGAGAAGCGCTGTGTCCTGGAAATCGCAGCCACGCGGACATGGGCTGTCCGGACCCGAGGCCCGGCTAGGGTGGGAGGAGCGTGGTGGGCACACCTCTGGGGGAGGGGCCCGGGTCACAGGGGTAGGAGGGGGCGCATGTGAGGTCAGCGCGTGTGGGCCCCCCCTGCCCCTGCAGGCGGCTGGAGGGCCTGTGTTTGCTCTCGGGGAGCCTCCGGCCGTTTCTCCTGCTGCCACTTCCACAGACGCTGGCTGGTTCTGCGTCATCTCGGCAAGGATGGACGGATGGATGGACGGGTGCACAGAGTGTCCTGGGATGCGCAGCTCGGGGGAAGGGCGGGGGCGTTGAGGATCGGGTGAACCTGTGTTGAGATGTGGCCTGGGGGCTCCGTGTGCCCAGGGCCCCCTCGGTGGTCCTGACCCCCTACCCCCGGCCGTCCCAGAGCAGGTGC